ATATAGATACTTGCTTTAAATATATGTATATACATACTAAGTTATAAAAATTAATTAATATTTAGTAATCTTCCAAGATGTACACTACATAGTTTTTTTTTTTTTTAAATGCTAATAACTTGATTATATAATAATAAAAATATAATATAAACAAGTAATAATAGTAAACCTAAGTAAAAATTTAATTTTGTATATTTACTAAGATACATGTATTTAACTGACATGATCATTTAAGCTCATACTTATTAAAAAAATTAAATAATAAGTATACAATTAATCATTCTACCATAATATTATAATTAATTTTAATAAATGTTTCATTTAAGATCACATTACACGCTTAAGTATAAATAGGATTTTAAAAAAAAAAAAAAAAATCAGCATGTGTTATGCACTTTTTGTATGAAAAATGCAATGATTATACCTGATTAAGCTTCATTCAAACTTAAAAAATAAATATTAAATGTTTGTGTGCAAAAAAATCAGTTGCTAGATATAAAAATGCAGTATAATTAGATTTATTCTATAAAATAAAAGAAAAATCAGAAAATCTACATTTTAATATTTGCTAATTCAAAAACAAACTAGTTCTCCAATTATTATAAATTCATTTTTTCTAAAAATTATAGAACATTATAATTATTATAATAAATTATAATTTTAATCATACTACACATCTAATAATATAGAGAATCATCCTTATTTTTCAAAAATGCCATAAAGATATGACATAAATTTCATATATAATAAAATAAAAATTAAGCAATATGTATAAAATTTTTACTTCTAATGAAATATATCTATTAATACACTTATATTTTATAAATATTATTAAGAACTATTATATAAGAAATTTTAAATGTTCCATAAGAAAAATATACATTAATTGATATATTAAATATCGCTATTTATAATAATTTAAAGTGGGGAATTAAATAAATAGGTTATTTTTTTGTTTAACTAAAATGTGACATATTTTTACTTGATAACTTTTAATAATTTAAATTTTAAAATCATAGTATTAATATTTTTTATTAAGTTAACATTATATATTTTTTATCCCCAAAATTTTTATTATACATATTCAGAAAGAAACAGAGTATCTAATATTTTGAATTCGCGTTAAAATATACTTGGAACATTATTATTTTTTATCACATATCTATATATACGCCAAATTCTGAATTCAATTTTCATGTTTAAATCATTTATTTTTAATATACATTATTCTCTTAAAATTGCACTAAAATTAAAATGTGTATTCTGTAAGAGCAATATAATTTTACATAGTGGTTATATGAAATTATATTTCTTCTTATATGGAGAATATATTTATAAACTTTTTATGTTTAAAAATATTTTCTAAATTTGTGGTTTTTGATAATGCAACGAGGAAATTTTTGGAATAATTAAATCTAGACTGTCTAACTCATTTACATTGAACATGTATACTTATTTTATTTAATTTAATTCTGAATTTTTTTTTGTTTATTAATAAAAAAATTTCTACAATATAATTATTTTACAATTCGTATATTTCTCATTTTAATTATATTTGTTTTGTGCTATTCAAAAATAATTGAGGCCTGAAATTTTATATTATGCTTTCAAATACGATTATAATAGATTATAATAATTTAAAACATAATACGGTTAATTAAATTACACTATATTTAAGAAAAGTAGTGTTAAAACACTTTAATCGAAAAACTAAAATATCTAAAAATTAAACTTAAGCACTTAGGTAAAAACAGTTCTGAAGTAATTAACTGTATACTTTTGAGTTCTTGAGTATATAAAAGATTAAATATAAATTATGGTTCTATTTATACTACTAATACTAACCTTGTTTTTGTTGTGTTTCATATATGATATAGTACTCTTACTGATGAAAACAAAAATGAGCATTATTGCAACAAATATAATACAAAATCTTATCTGATTTCTCAAATTTAAATGGAAAAAATTAAAGAATTATATCATTACTATGGAGTTTTTTATTACTACATATATGCCTCTAATAGTTAAGTTTGTGAATGCAAGAAATATAATAGGCATATTCAAAGCAACGCAGACTTATGAGAATATTTTAAAATATCATGTATATTATCATATGAAAGAAAAAATCTCAAAATTTATAGTTAAAGTATGTAGCATCACCCATGAATTGTGTTGTATAGTATTTCACGTCGGGCATTAGTTCAAGCTGAAGAACATTCTGTAAAAAAAAAAATCTACACCACGAGAAGCTGCAATCATAGCAAAAATGATTAAGCCTTGTAACATAAGGTCTTATCAAAAAATTCTTATATAAATTCGGATTGCACAGAAAGGTTTTGTTCCCTTATAAAGGTACGGGGTTAAAGAGTCACATCTATAAAGCTACAACAAAGTTTGAGGAAATGTTTTTCATAACTATTTCAATATTTATGGATTTTAGGCTTTCATATAAAGTAAATGATATTTTCTATATGGTGTGCTAGTTGTATTCACAATTAGGTCATAAATAATGCATAAATTATTAGGAATATTTTACATAATTCTTATATATCAATGTATTTTTCCATGAATATGCTCTTAAGAAATATACTGTGAAAGCAAAACTACTCTTTAAATCATAGAAAAGAAAGTAATAATATATTATTTAGCTATGCATTGGGGCCGCATAATCTATATTATGAAATAGAAAAACATTATTTAATATATAAAAGTCATAAATTTTTCTTGTAGAGAAATAAATAATAATAAGTATAATCATCCCTTCTTAACAAATAATTATGTTCAAAATTTTTAAAATGTATTAGGTAAACAAAAAATGTGTGAGTTCTCTGAGATGATGAAAACGTACTAACATATATAATAAGGTTGAAAGGACATAATAATAATTCAGTGCAGAAAATATGAAAAGATATAATAAAAAGAATAATTACAAAAATAAATTAAATCTTCATTAATGTAATATGGTTTTAATATATTTGAATATTAACCCTATACTTATTTTCTCCATTATATAATATTTGCTATTTTTATCACACAGAAAATAAACTATTATTTACATTATGTAATACAATAACTATATACCATCAATATTAAATTATGTCATTTTATAAGATACCCTATAATCCTCCGTTTCCTAACAAAAATAAAAATTATATTTATTGTTATATCTATATTCTCGTACAAATATTAGACAATACTCTTTCATCTTGTGGCATGTTATTTATTTTTATAAAATAAAAGTAACTTAAATTTTATATGTATTACATCAAGTATATTTATTCAGGTTTAGAGCTAATTATATTATATAAATAATTTCAAATTTATCTAATTGTTAATATAAATGGTTCATATCCTATATTTGTGCTTATATATTAAATGATTACAAGATAACCTTTAGAATATTTATTAAATTCTTAATTCATTCATTCCATTTAGAATTCTCAAATAATTTATCATCTAAATCAATTAATATATATTCATAATGTAATACTCATTATATCATAACAACAAACAACAGTATGTGTTTGTATGCATATATTATATATAAATTAAAAAAATGAAACATATATAATAATAATTATATAGGAGTTTTTACATCTTGTATAAATATAAAATTAATTTATAGAATTGTTAAATAAAATAAATCATTTAAAAATAATATAATAATATAAAAAATTATATCATATATTTATATATAGGCATAATAAATCTTATAGTGTTATTTTTGTACTCCTAAATAATATAAGGCAGAAAATAAATTAAACAATAAAAATATTTAGTGTTCATACATAATTGGCAAATTATCAATAAAACGAACTATGGTACTTCAATTATATATATTTTTACCAAAAAGCAACATATCTTATACTAACAATAAATATAATAAACTCTAAAATAATAAAAAAACATTGAGATGGCTGTTATAAACGTACATGTGATAAATAAGAATACATCATTTAATTAATAATCCTAACATTAATCAATAGAAATCCTGTACTACTTCAATAACAACAGATGTAACCAGAAAAATATATCATAAATAAATAGTAGAAAAAAAAAATACTATATAATAAATCATAAATATGTAAAACAAAACTCCCCCAAAAAAAAAACCCTAAACCCTGAACCTATTCCACATATTTCATGAGTTAAATATAACATTATACTTCAATATCATCAAAAGTGAAGTGTTTATATTTCCTGCGATATATAAAAAAGGGGCGTTAATTTAATAATAATGATGAATGAAAAATAAATATAAATATGAATTAATTTTTTATGTATATAAAAATGATATAACTTAACTCTATAAATTGTAAATTCTACTATAAGTTTATTATAAAATTAAGATAAAATATATTTTATTACAATATTTTATTCTTTTTAATTGGATTAATATTTATTTGAAAAAATTAGTCCTACTTATGTATCGTAAAACTATTTATATTTTCAACCAAACATATTTATCAAGGGTTTCCTTAGATCTTTCTTTACTTTAATAGTATACTTGGGGCTATGTTTTTTTGTTATATTTCATTTTATAACTATTATTAGGCACGTTTTTCTGAAATATATATAGTCCTTATAACATTATAAAATTATTTCTACTATATCAAGTTGCATTATAATTAAAAATTATTTTCTCATACATAACGCATATTAAATCTTTTGCTTTCTGAAACAAAATGGAAATCATCATAATTTCCAAAAGGATTGATATCTATTATATACATTCTTCTTAAAAAATTTACGTTACATTTATTATATAAAATTTTTGGAATTTTACCGAACTATTTATAA